TGCGCTGGCCAGCCGGGACCCTTGAGAGTGAAGGGGGCACGGCTGGCGATGTGCCTGCAGCCAGTGGCTCACACTTGGAGGGAGTTGGCCTACAGGTTCTTGGGCCCTTCCCCAGAGTTCTGTTTCGGTGGGCCCAGGTGGAACCCAGGAATCGACTTGTTTCAGACGGATTCAGTGTCTTAGTCCATTTAGCTGCCATAACAGAATACCATAGACGGGGGAAGTCTGTCTTAGGGGGCCTGCTTCCTGGTTCATAGATGTCTCTGGGGTCTCATAAGAGCACTGATCTCATTCACAGGGCTCTGCCCTCATAACCTGGTTACCTCCTGGAGGCCCCGCCTCCTAATCCATCACCTTGGAGGGTAGGGTTTCAACGTGTGTATCTGAGGGGGACACAGACGTTCAGGCCAGAGCACACACTAATCCACATGGATGTTGAGCTGTGTGTTAAACATGTCTAGTTTAAGTCTATGTTAATTTTATAATTCTTTAGCCCAAATACGGTAGACTAGAGGCACATTTGAGTGAGTGATCACAGGAAACTAACCTGGGTTTCTGCAAGTGACACACATAATATCTGAGGCAGGTCAATTCGCAACTGGATAATTTCAGGTGTGAGAAAGGTCCCCAAGTCATGGCACGACCACCTCTTAATGCCTTTCTGGTCAGATGTTTTGGACTGTGTCTTCTGTTTTTCTAATGTAAGGACACAACATTTAAAAAAAAATAAACTTTATTTTTTAGGACAGTTTTAGGTCCACAGCAAGATTTAGCATAGAGCACAGAGTTCCTCCTGTAAACCCCCATCCTCAGACACACACAGCCTCCCCCATTACCAGCTTCCCCCGCCAGCGTGGTGTGTTTGGTAAATGGTTGGTCCTACATCAACACGTCCTAATCCTCGAGAGACCAGAGTTGACGTTGAGATCGCTCTTGGTGGTGTACATTCTTGGGTTTGGGCACATGTGTAATGCCGTGTATCTGCCATTAGATAGTGGTAGTTTCACTGCCCTAAAAATCTGTGCTCTGCTTATTCATTCTTTCCACCCTCATGCCACACACACTGGGGGTGGCAACCACTGATCCTTATACTGTTTCCGTAGCTTTTCCTTTTCCAGAATGTCATGTCATGTCGGAATCCTATAGCATGTGGCTTTCTCAGATTGGCTTCTTTCACTTAGTGATGTGCATTTAAGGCTTCTCCATGGCTTTTCATGGTTTGATGGCTCATTTCTTTTTAGTGCTGGATACTATTTCATTGATGTATTTATTGATTCACCTACTGCAGGACATCTTGGTTGTTTCCAGGTTTTGGGCATTATGAATAAAGCTGCTGTAAACATCCATGTGCAGGTTTTTGTGTGGACCTAGGTTTTCATCTCCTTTGGGCAAACACCAAGGAGCGCGATAGCTGGATCGCACGGTAAGAGTGTGTTTAGCTTTGGAAGAAGCTACCAGACTGTCTTCCAAAGTGGCTGCACCGTCCTGCGTTCCCACCAGCAGTGAATGAGAGCTCCTGTTGCTCCACACCCTCGCCTGCATTCGGTGGTGTCAGTGCTCTGGACTTTGGCCATTCTAATAGGCGTAGAGTGGTATCTCATTGTTTTAATTTGCATTTTCCTGATGTCAGATGATGTGCAGCATCTCTTCAGGTGCTTATCTGCCATCTCCGTGTCCCCTTTGGTGAGGTGTCTGTTCAGGTCTTTGGCCCATCTTTTTTTTTTTTTTTTATAATATAAATGTATTTATTTATGGCTGCGTTGGGTCTTTGTTGCTGCGTGTGGGCTTTCTCTAGTTGTGGCGAGCAGGGGCTTCTCATCATGGTGGCTTCTCATTGCGGAGCACAGGCTCTAGGCACGCAGGCTTCAGTAGTTGTAGCACGTGGGCTCAGTAGTTGTGGCGCACGAGCTTAGTTGCCCCACAGCATGTGGGATCTTAGTTCCCTGACCAGGGATTGAACCCATGTCCCCTGCCTTGGTAGGCAGATTCTTAACCACCGGACCACCGGGGAAGTCCCGAGAGGAAATAACTTTATAAACAAATTTACCAGAATGGTTTTTCATTCTTATCAAGGATACTTTGACCTTGCTTGATTTGATTTTATACCTTTTTAGCTCTTGGTCCAAAAGCTGGTCTTCTTTGTGGTATGCAGCTGTTGGTCCGGTTTCCCCGGCTTCTGTGTCATCCTAGATTAGTGTTGTGTGCTGCGGAAAGTTTGGAAAGTTAGATGGGCTCAGCTGAGGCTAATAGTTGGTGATGTCTTATGAAGATACTAGCAGTTGTAGTGGATTTTTCGAGGGTAGAGATGCCTGTTTTAAATGGTGCATGCACAAAACCACCAGGCACCGCACAGCACGCGCCGCCCATCACCCGTGCCTGGAACGCTGCACGCACGGCTGCACGTGGGGGCCCGTGAAGGGAACAAACGTGCATTAACCCCTCTCCGTCCATTTTCCAGCACGTGTGGGTCACTGACCTTCGTTACCGCATTCACATGGAGTATTGTGATTGTCATGTAGCCTCTTCACTGTAACCGAAGCTGGGGTTGCCTGTCAAAAATTATTCTGGGGGCTTCCCTGGTGGCGCAGTGGTTGAGAGTCCGCCTGCCGATGCAGGGGACGCGGGTTCGTGCCCCGGTCTGGGAGGATCCCACATGCCGCGGAGCGGCTGGGCCCGTGAGCCGTGGCCGCTGAGCCTGCGCGTCCGGAGCCTGTGCTCCGCAACGGGAGAGGCCACAACAGTGAGAGGCCCGCGTACTGCAAAAAAAAATTATTCTGCAGTTAACTTTCTGGTGACGTGACACAGCCAGCATTTCCACACAGCAAATTGTAGGAAGTCACGTGTTTTGGCATCAGTTACCCTTAAATTAGAAACAGGACAGTAGGGGAAGTTGTTGATTGGAACAGTTGTAGTTTCACTTGTCTCAGTGCACCTGCGAATCATAACCAAATTGTTTTCAGTGACAGCCCGGCAGGCCCTGCAGCAGGCTTCAGAGTGAAACCTGTCTTCAGAGGTTGTCTGGCTTCTTTGAAGAGCAGACACCGGAATAGGTCACAACGTGAACTTCTCCACACTGGAACACACAACTGCCAGTGCTTTCGGGAAGTGGCAGGCTAATCCTCCTTAAATTGCTTCAGTCTGTTGTCATTTAGCTTTGGGCATTTTTTTTTACATTAGGTGCTTCAGAAGAGAGCATTTTCGTGGCTTTAGATATCATATAGTTAACAGCACCAGCCTTTGTATGAAATAGCTTCCTTAAAGAAAACACTTTGCCTGCTGTAAGATTGCTTCACGGCACCATGTCATGAGCAGCGAATCTGGTTTTGTGTGTCCGATCGGCCCCATGGGCGTGGTGACACCCTGAGCGCAGGCGTCCTCACCCCACTCACGCCTTCCTTTTCTTCTCAAAGCTGCCCTCCTTCCCTTTTCGGGCAGAGCAGAGCACTGATGGGGAGGGGCCCTCAAGACAGAGTAAGGGTGGGAAGCTATAAAGGGAAAGCTTTCAGAGCCCAGGAAAGGTGCACGCATGCCCCCAGGGTCCCTGTCCCACACCCCGAGCAGGTGCTGTGCTTAGTTCAGACTGGGCGGGGGTGGCGGGGGTGAGTCCAGTTCTCCATTCAGGTAAGCGGGGACTAGATGCATCTCAGTAATGGTTAGATTTGCTGTTAATTTGGTTATAGTCTCCCTTTCGCCCACTTTCACTCAGTTAAAGAACTAGGTTATCAAATTAAAGTATAAAAATTGCTAGCATTCACTAGATGGGAAGGGACTCACATGGACTTTCCAGGGCATTGGAAATGTTCTGTGTCTCCACATAAATTAGTCAAAACTGATTGAATTGTACCTTTTCATTGAGTATAAATTATACCTGAGGAAATGAACAAGCATTCCTCCCCCTCACATAGGCAAACCAACCAGTTGGAAAATACAAAGGAAGAGAGAATCCCATCTACAGTGGCCACAAAAAAGATAAAATAATTAGGAAGAAACTTAACAAGAAATGTACAAAACTGTAGAAGGAATATTTTGACATCCTCGAGAAAGGCACTGGGGGGGTGGACTTGGATACATGGAGAGACTGCCCTAAGGATGGCAGTTCTCCCTCGGCTAGTTTATAAAAATCAGTGGAATCTCACTGAAAATACCAACATCCGCCCACCGCCCCCCCCCCGCCC